GGTGGGAACAGGGAAAGGATGCTAGCGTTAAAGCTGCCTTTCCTTTGGGGAGGCATGGATCGAGAGACGGCTGCAGATGGAAATAAACAAAATAAATAAAATTGCCGAGCCAAAGCAGTTTCCAATTTCACTTCTGTTTTTACATCCCTTAAAATCTCCTCTGGAAAAGAGGAAATTATTTGGTGAAAAGAACTCAGTTCCTAGGACCCTACAAATACGTTGTAAACACATGATTTCCACGTTATATGCTTCAAGTATTTCCACCTGACCGCTATATCGCAAAGCAGTTTGTTTAAAAGGACTTCCAGACTTCCAGTCCAAAGCAAATCCTATAAAACAGAGCAAATATACTTACCTCATTAAAATGTACCGATCTACTGCAGAGGAGTACACTTGTCTGCAAATTGCCTCCCACACAGCTACCCGCTCCTTTTTTCCCAGGTGACTAAAGCCTTCCAGAAAAATCCTGCTTCATTTCAAGACACCAAGTTCCACAATCCAACTTTTCACACTTGCTTTTAACCCTTTCTCTTCTCCCGAAACCACTTGAGCGCTTTTTCTCCTTCTCAGCTGCTGAAGGCTCCCACGAGACGCAACCAAGCACGCGGGATGACCCTGCTCACACCTGCCAAAACAATTACCTACTCTCTCTGGACCCAACCCACTGGCTATCGCAGGACAACACGCGGATGACAGGTACCACATTAGCTTCGATCTCTGCCACCAAGCTCCCTTTGCCTGACCTGCCGTCCGGTGACCCTCCCCGGACGGACGTGACGTGCTCCCACCGCGGGGCCGTCTCCAGCGCGGGCACCTCCGCCTCCCACCACAGCCGGTGGGCTGAGGCGATTTGCTCCAGCAGGGTAGCTCACAAAAGAAGATGGGTTAAAACTTTTAATTACCATTTTGGGGTGGAGGACCTACACACAAAACTTTCTGATATAGTATTTTAATAAAAACAGTAGAGAAGTAAACAATGATGTTTCAGGTCTCATGAATTACAGGTGCTTTCTGCTTTACAAATTAATTTACATCAGTTACCTAAGCATTTACAGTAAACATTGCACCATATGAATACCAACATGTTGATGTGATCAAAATGAAGGTGTGAAATACAGTGGGCCAATTTTTTTTTCTAATATAGACTTATCTGGAAATTTTTTTCACCTTCCTGAGACAATCCAAAAAGATCATCCCCGCATTTCTGGGCTTCCTTTTCACTTGCATATAATTTTTGCTCTGCATATATATTCATGCGTCATCTAAAAATGATGCAGTGACACAAACGTATTATGGCTTCTCTTTTTTTCAGAATAAAATGAGTTTAAGATAGACATAAATGTATGTCTATGACATCAGTTCAGAATGTTTATCACTAGGACTATTTTTTTTTGCTACAACTACAAAAAAGTATTGTAGAGATGTTTGTATGTACCTAGTTCCACGGACGTTTTCAAGTTGACAAAAACGGAGGGAATATATTTCTATACAAAACAGTCCAAGAGAAAAAAAAAAACACAGATAACAAATGCAGATGCAGTGCAGCTCAGTCTCAAAAGCACTATTTCCAACTTTGTCCTAGGAAGTTACAGCATCTTCTTGAAACTTAATTTTCCTTATTTTGGAAATAAACTTATTTATTGGTAGGTTACCTTAGAAACCTCCTCCCCCTTATAACTCCCATAAAAATTTTCAAGTAGCTAAAAAATGGAATTGTTTCAATTCTCAGCTGTCTAAATTGGGAATAAATATTAGTGGAGATTAAACAACTGCATATCTTTATGAACAAATCTTTTTGTATTTTGGAAACAGAACTTTTCATCTAATTGCTTTACAAACTACAAAAGTTCATGTTACGTCAATAACATAATTTTTATTCTATTAAGATTCCTTCCAGTCTTCCTTCCAGATAGAGCATACATTTTAATAGCTATCCTGATGTCACCTTCGGGCCTCCCAGAAACTGGGAGGTGGAAGATTCCATTTTATTTTTTATTCTACGTATTTCTTCTGTAAATATACTGTAAACTTGCAACCATCTGGTTCGATCAACATGAAATAAGATCAATTTCCCTCAAGTCGAAATTCATACTCCTATTCTCCTACCCTTTGGGCCAGGCTTGTAAGGCTGCACGTACGAAAGGAATTAATGTCTTTATTTTCGGTACTAGTAGGTAAGAATGATGAAGTTGGATTCAATGTCAGTGAATCAAACTGACTGAATTCTAGTTACTGTTCGATTGACCTAGGAACGGACAACGGTGGAAAACTGTTCTGAAGGATGTTTTTAGGAAAATTCTAGGGGGTGGCATGGATTTACTTCCATGTCTACTGTCCAAGCTTTCTCTGGACGCTTGGCTGTGGGGGGAATGCTTGAATACTTGTATTCTTGCAGCTCACTGAATATTCTAAATTGCTGTCAAGAATATTGCTTGAAGCAATACTGAGAAGCAGTGCCACTAGAAATCTTTGATGTTTGCAATTTGTTGCTTATGCAAGTGGAGTTAAGCAGATGTGTCCAGAAGAGTAACCGATCCATCAAAAAAATTAGAAGACATTTTTATTTAAAAACCAAAGCCCCCAAACCACTTTGCCATCATTCACCTGTGTTAGACAGCTATTTTCAGTCAGCTAGTGACAATAGTGAGGCAGGTGACCAGTAATGGGACTAAATAACTTTGAACACTGCTTGTACAG